AAATATGGAAAAGAAGAACAATGTCAATATATATTACACTAATCTTTATATTATATAAAATAGCAAAGTCTGCTACAAGTTTAGGAGACAAAATTGCCGCCCAAAAAGGGGGTAAAAATGAATTAAACATTCTTGAAACATATAATCATGCCCATGATATTGTGACTGTTATGCGTTGAAGGTTTAATAATGACGGAGAATGTTAACCCATTTGTAAACAAACGTTCATTAATCCAATGTAGAAAGTGTTGCACTGATTAATGATTCAATACTACATATGACAAGAATTAGTGACTACAAGAATAAGTAATTCCGTATAAAAAGATTTAATGTAACATTCATTTAATACGAGTCACGTGAAATATTTAATACACTGTGAATTTATAGTAGGAATTTCAATATTCAAATATGAAAAAGAAGGACAATGTCAATATATATTACACTAATCTTTATATTATATAAAGTAGCACAGTCTGCTACAAGTTTAGGGGGCATAATTGCCGCCCAAAAGAGGGGTAAAAATGTATTAAACATTCTTGAAACATATAATCTTGCCCATGATGTTGTGATTGTTGTGCGTTGAAGGTTTAATAATGACAGTCAATGTCAACCCATTTTTAAACAAACGTTCATCGATCCAATTTAGAAAGCGTTGCACTAATTAATGATTTGATACTTCATATGACAAGAATTAGTGACAGCAGGAATAAGTAACTCCTTATGAAAAGAATTAATGTAACATTCATTTAATACGAGTCACGTGAAATATTTAATACACTGTGAATTTATATTAAGAATTTCAATATTCAAATATGGAAAAGAAGGACAGTGTCAATATATATTACACTTATGTTATTATATAATCTTTATATTATATAAAGTAGCACAGTCTGCTACAAGTTTAGGGGGCATAATTGCCGCTCAAAAGAGGGGTAAAAATGTATTAAACATTCTTGAAACATATAATCCTGCCCATGATGTTGTGATTGTTGTGCGTTGAAGGTTTAATAATGACAGTCAATGTTAACCCATTTTTAAACAAACGTTCATCGATCCAATTTAGAAAGCGTTGCACTAATTAATGATTTGATACTTCATATGAAAAGAATTAGTGACAGCAGGAATAAGTAACTCCTTATGAAAAGAATTAATGTAACATTCATTTAATACGAGTCACGTGAAATATTTAATACACTGTGAATTTATATTAAGAATTTCAATATTCAAATATGGAAAAGAAGGACAGTGTCAATATATATTACACTTATGTTATTATATAATTTTATAAATTAGCAAAGTCTGCTACAAGTTTAGGAGGCAAAATTGCCGCCTTAAAATGGGGGTAAAAATGTATTAAACTTTCTTGAAACATATAATCCTGCCCATGATGTTATGACTGTTGTGCGTTGAAGGTTTAATAATGACAGTCAATGTTAACCCATTTTTAAACAAACGTTCATCGATCCAATTTAGAAAGCGTTGCACTAATTAATGATTTGATACTTCATATGACAAGAATTAGTGACAGCAGGAATAAGTAACTCCTTATGAAAAGAATTAATGTAACATTCATTTAATACGAGTCACGTGAAATATTTAATACACTGTGAATTTATATTAAGAATTTCAATATTCAAATATGGAAAAGAAGGACAGTGTCAATATATATTACACTTATGTTATTATATAATCTTTATATTATATAAAGTAGCACAGTCTGCTACAAGTTTAGGGGGCATAATTGCCGCCCAAAAGAGGGGTAAAAATGTATTAAACATTCTTGAAACATATAATCCTGCCCATGATGTTGTGATTGTTGTGCGTTGAAGGTTTAATAATGACAGTCAATGTTAACCCATTTTTAAACAAACGTTCATCGATCCAATTTAGAAAGCGTTGCACTAATTAATGATTTGATACTTCATATGACAAGAATTAGTGACAGCAGGAATAAGTAACTCCTTATGAAAAGAATTAATGTAACATTCATTTAATACGAGTCACGTGAAATATTTAATACACTGTGAATTTATATTAAGAATTTCAATATTCAAATATGGAAAAGAAGGACAGTGTCAATATATATTACACTTATGTTATTATATAATCTTTATATTATATAAAGTAGCACAGTCTGCTACAAGTTTAGGGGGCATAATTGCCGCCCAAAAGAGGGGTAAAAATGTATTAAACATTCTTGAAACATATAATCCTGCCCATGATGTTGTGATTGTTGTGCGTTGAAGGTTTAATAATGACAGTTAATGTTAACCCATTTTTAAACAAACGTTCATCGATCCAATTTAGAAAGCGTTGCACTAATTAATGATTTGATACTTCATATGACAAGAATTAGTGACAGCAGGAATAAGTAACTCCTTATGAAAAGAATTAATGTAACATTCATTTAATACGAGTCACGTGAAATATTTAATACACTGTGAATTTATATTAAGAATTTCAATATTCAAATATGGAAAAGAAGGACAGTGTCAATATATATTACACTTATGTTATTATATAATTTTATAAAGTAGCAAAGTCTGCTACAAGTTTAGGAGGCAAAATTGCCGCCTTAAAATGGGGGTAAAAATGTATTAAACTTTCTTGAAACATATAATCCTGCCCATGATGTTATGACTGTTGTGCGTTGAAGGTTTAATAATGACAGTCAATGTTAACCCATTTTTTTAAACAAACGGTCTTTGATCCAATTTAGAAAGTGTTGCACTGATAAATGATTTAATACTTCATATGGCAAGAGTTAGTGACATCAAGAATAAGTAACTCCGTATGAAAAGAATTAATGTAACATTCATTTAATACGAGTCACATGAAATATTTAATACACTGTGAATTTATAGTAAGAATTTCAATATTCAAATATGGAAAAGAAGGACAATGTCAATATATATTACACTAATGGTAAAATGTGCACGGTGCACACGTGGCATGAGAAATGACCACTTAAATATTAGAAAATAAATTCTTTATCTCCTTATTTGAATGATTTCATACAATTTTGGTAAGTTTTTCTCTACAATGTCAAGGAGAACGTCTAGATGTTGACATTATTTTTGACATTGCAGGGAAAACTTACCAAAATTGTATAAAATCATTCAAATAAGGAGAGAGATAATTTATATGCTAATATTTATGTGGCTATCACTCATGCCACATGTGCACCGTGCACATTATAACATTGGAGATGTTTTAATCTTTATATTATTAAAAGCAGCACATTCTGCTACAAGTTTAGGAAGCAAAATTGCTGTCCAAAAGAGGGGTAAAAATGTATTAAACATTCTTGAAACATATAAACCTGTCCATGATGTTGTGACTATTGTGCGTTGAAGGTTTAATAATGACAGTCAATGTTAACCCATTTTTAAACAAACTTTCATTGATCCATTTTTAAGCAAACGTTCATTGGTAATTCGTGACATCTATAATAATATAAAGTCTATAATAATATAAAGTAACAAGGTGTGACACCTTGCATTTCCCTCCAATTAGACATTTAATGCTTCATACCCATTAAAAATAAGAGTTACATGAATATTGGAGTAATTGGAATATTTTCAATTCAAAATAATCTATAATGATGATGATCACAGATAATAATAATTATTTTTATTATAATATAATAATAGTGGTACATAATTGGCGGGACTTCACTTAACGCAAAGAAAAAAATCAGAATGTTTACAATATTTTGATTTAAATGTTTTCAATTATAAGCTAGACCACACCAGATTAAAAGAAAGTACACCAAATCAGATCAAATTTAAAAACAATAGAATTGATCAGATCAGAATAAGTTAGTAAAATATACATACATCCGACACTTACCAGACCAGATCAGTTTAGGTCATCAGACCAAACTTAAGCGGACCCGATCATAAAACTTTAGTCTAATTAAAAACATCATTGTTATTGTCTTGCAGTACAGTAATAGTTATATTATTAATAACAATAGTCTTCTATAATAATATAAAATAACAAGGTGTAGCTTGCGTTTCCATATTTAATGATGTTATACTCATTTTCTCTAAACAATAATGTGTAAATTAATAGTTACAATTAGTAATTATAATGTGAAAATTTTGATTTTTAAAGTTATACTATCAATTAATGTTTTTGCTTATTGGATGTTTACAAAAGATTTATCAGTAACTTTTTTAGCATCCTCAATTGCATGAATACTTTGTTATTACTCCATCTGTCCCGCTAAGATTGTCTCATTTTTCCTTTTCAGAGAGTCCCCCTGAGATTGTCTCATACCAAAGTTTGTGTGGCTCTAAATCATTCTTACTTTATCAATTCAATATCAATAACATAAACTCACTTTTCTTAATAATCGTGTCACCTCCTCATGTCCCAATGTTAGCGGGACGGAGGTAGTATATTTTATAAACACAAATACGTAACAAAATATTTATATAACTAATGAAAAGTATTTTTATTATTACGAAGTGATCCCAACTTTATCCAACTTTGTGCTCTGAAAAATTCATTCCAAATTTTTAACATATGTAAATCCGAGTTAGTGAAACTATTCATTAGATTTTCACTGTCATCTAATGACATGGTTAAACATATAACATATGCATCCCGTGCAACGCACAGGTAAAGAATCTAGTGGAAATTGGTAGGACTATAGTGTAGTAGTAATAATTAGAGCATCGCCAATGCTATAATGTGCACGGTGCACATGTTGCATGAAAGAGATAGACATAAAAGATTGATTTTATGACATGTCTCTCTCCATCTTTCCACGGTCTTATGTGTTTTTGGTAATTTTTTCTCTGCAATGTCAATCACAATGTCTACATTGTGCTTGACATTGTGAAGGCAAACTTACCAAAATGATATAAAATCCTTCAAATAAGGAGAGAGATATTTTATTTATTATTTTTTGATTGGCTACTCTCATGCCACGCATGCAGCGTTAACGTTTTAGTATTAGAGATTCTCGATAAATTTGACAAGTCCGGGCGGTCGCCGGCCACCCTAAATCCTGCTAGTTTTACGTTTAGACGTGGGCCAGGGGTGACAGAGTATGGTAAAGAAAGCGTGAACCAAATATAAGGGGCCCTTTCAGTTTCTCCGTTTCTCGTCTTCAACTCTTCTGTCCCGCTCTAGCCTTAAAAATCGTTGCTATCGCCAAAAGCTGACTGCTTTATCATTATTACTGCTAACAGGTGCTGCATTCTTCGTCTGGGTTTTCTTGTAAGTTCTGCTTGCAATAAAACCACCCCCATTGAAATTTGAGTCTAATTTTCTTGAAAATTTAAAGTGTTTAACGAATGACGTTCTTTTTGCCGCATATAAAGACCTGTTTTCCGCAAAAGAATGGGTCCTGAATTTTATTTTTGAAGATATTCACTAGCATTGTTCAATTCCTTTTTGTGCTCCGAATTTGATCTCCCTTACAGAGATATGCCGAAGAGGAGGAGAAAGGAGAGTAAGAAGAGTCCAGAGAAAGAACTGGTCGCCGAAGACTGGTGCTTTACGTGCAAGGATGGCGGTGAGCTGCTTCTTTGTGACAACAGGTATGCCTATTCCCCAATTTTCTTCCTTCCCTCCCTTGTTTTTATATCTTTCCATGGCAGTAATTTTTCTAATGTGTCAAAGCCAGCATTACTCTTACTATTTTGCAAAAAGACTTGGTGTCAGGGGCGGAGCCAGGACACTGGGCCGAACTGGGCCGGTACAAAGAATATTTTTGAAAAAAAATACACAGATTTTTTTACACTAAAAATATAGAGATTTTTAAAATTTAGGCTGGGCCAGGACCAGGGGTGGCCACCCCCTAGCTCCGCCCCTGCTTGGTGTTTTATTTTAAGAAGTGGCCTATCTTTTCAAGGTCAATCAATGGACCCCCCTGATAATAATAATCTATATACTCTGCCACTGTGGACTTCATTCCTGAAAGAGCCAACTCTCAGGTTCTAGATTAAAAGAAAGGGCTCTTTTTGAGACATGCATGGTTGTACTTGTCTGCTTGTGGACTGACCAGAAAAGGAGCCACGCTCTATTGGTGTGTGAATTGACATTTTTAGGCTGTTCACTCATTAGAAAAGTTTCAGAGCATGAAAACTTGAGATGCCTCTTGAAGTCTGATCACGCATGAAGGAATCTACTAACAGACATATCTTTTTTTGCACCCAGATCTTGGTTGTATATTTGTAATCTAGAGATTTCTATACCTCTTTCGTTTTCTTAAATTTAATGTACAATGAATTATCCTAGTCATTCAGTATCACTTAAGCCATTTATAGAGGTGTTGGGAAACCTTAGGATGCTTCCATTGTAATGTGGGAGTGTTGGTATATATGCTCTCCATCTATTAAAGGTTATAAAAGTTTCCACCTATTAAATTGAATATCATTATATTGAGGCTTGACTCTTCAGTGTGTGTTTTTATACTTACAGGCAGTGTGTAAAAGCCTACCATCCAGAGTGTGTAGGGAAAGAATATTCAGCATTGACAAGTAACCAACGCTGGATGTGTGGTAAGCTACTAATTTTATCTCTTTTGGCACTGAATTAATATTTCATCTTGGATGTACATTTTATTAATTTATTTTGATCGCATGATATTTCTTTTTCCTTCATTTTACTTGGTAAAACTTCATCAGTTCTGTAGACATGTGAACACTTCATCAGTTTTATATAAATGAGAGTATGTTTGACTGTGTGTGATAGAAGGGGAGTGATCAATACAATCTTTAGTACTCTGTATAAATTAAGATACAGCAGATACTGTTCCGTAACTTTATAAATCAAGTTCCTAATTTCCTATCAATGAGAATTAATGAACTTGTGGGCATATACAATCTTATGAATTCATTCTGCGTTTGTACTGCTAATATTCTACTATTTTAAGCTTAAATTGAATTATATTTGGATTACATTTGTTTAGTAATAAGTGTTCTTAACTTTGATCTCATAAATGCGCATTCATGTGTGTATTCAAACTTTAACTTTTTAGGAGATTTTTCTATTTGTATTTCTTTTTAAACCGTACTAATGTCTTTTCTTTCCCAGATTGGCACTCCTGTTTGATTTGTGGTAGATCTTCAATCCTCCATTGTTATTGCTGTCCAAATGCAGTATGTCGCAAGTGTTTTAAGCATGCAAAATTTGTCCGGGTTAAGGATAAGCGTGGATTCTGCAATAATTGTCTAAAGCTAGCAATACTTGTAGAGGAAAATAAGGATGTTGATTCTGAAGGGGTATGCTCTTAGATTCTTTTTATTTGTACTTCGTATCACTTAAAAAATATTATGAAGTATGGTGTTTTTTTACATTAACTGCTAGGAACGCTTGTTTTTTGTAATGAGTATTGCTTGGACAAATTTGATGGAGAAGAGCACTCTCTTTAACATGACAGTTCAGCAATTTATAAACTATAAAGTACTTATAAATTCTTTATATGAGCAGCATGAACAGTGCTAGTTGTAGACTGCAACTCATTACAAAAATCAAGTGTTGTATAATACTATCCTACGTCCCAAATCATAGATTATGCTATTAATTAATGAATAGAGCACCTCTTATAATAGTCAAAGAGTCTGGTAGACCCATCTTTGAGTAACCCTAAGGGCCTACACCTAATACACTACTATGAAGACCAACTAAAATAGAATGCATATGCTAATATGACACTACTACTAATAGTCTAATAGTAATAATAAAGTACTAAACTAATACTAATATAAATAAAAGACGCTAATTAAAAAACGACAATAAACAATATGGCCATATCACATTTTCTGTTCACTCACCAATACAGTTTTTTTGGTCTCCTAGGATATATGACTCACTGAAACTCTTGGGATGTATCCTTGAAACCTTTCTCACAACTGTTTTTTTTCACTTAATGACTTTACTCCATTTCCTGTTTCTCGTGGTCCATGTTTGTGCAACATTTCATGAAGGCGATCAAGGACATAAATTATATGTGTTGGCATTTGTCTATCCAGTATACAAGCCGTTTTACCACCCGCACCTCCAACTGCAGGTTAATTGAATCTGGGCTGGAAAATAAAATCTTTTAATCAAATTATCTATGTACGTTGGGATTTAGGAATTGTTGAAGTGGCTAGAATGAAGGTCTATTGTTATATTAGATGATTAGATCTTTCTGAAGAAGCTATATTTATAAACACTATGAAATTACTAAAAGTAAAGCTTTTAGTCTACTAAGATGCATGCTTGTTATGTCATGCCAGGGGTGCTTCACTGTTTGTTAAGAAACAAAGTATTAGTAGATCAATACTTTTGCATCTCAGTTTGCGATGGAATTTCAAGTAAATAGAAGAACACGTAATCTATATCTACCAGTGATATCTGAATATTTATGTATGTTGATATGTATGTATACCTATACAAGGAATTTGACAAAATGAAAATATGAGATTAGCTATAGAGTGTGTTTGGGATTTTGTATTTGCAATGAAGATAGTGCTGCTAACAGTAAAAAGCACTTTTAATGCTTATTTAAGAAAGCAGTCTATGTAGCTGAGCCCATTGAATTGAAATTAAGGCTTTATTGTTGTCCGGGGTATAATATTTTTGTGTTGCTTCTCAGGAAAGTGTAGACTTAAAGGACCGGGAAACCTATGAGGGCCTGTTTAGAGAGTATTATGAGATTATCAGGGAAAGTGAAGGACTTGATTTAGATACTCTCCGTGCAGCTAAAATCCGACTAGACCTGGACAAAAGTGATCTATCATCATCTGACGCTGATGAACCTGCTGATGTAGGTGAAGATGGAAAGGATCAATGCATCCTTTCTGATGATGATGATGATGATGAACACCCATATGAATGGGGAGGGAAGAAGTCTGGACAAAAAAAGAAGAAATCAGAATCGCAGAAAGCCAGTTCTAGGAAAAAGAAGAAACCCAAAAAAATGGTATTTAGTGGTTGGGGTTCTGACGCTCTCATATGTTTTCTTAAATCAATTGGTGAGGAAACTAAACAAGAGAGGAAACCTGATGATGTGGAAAGGGTTATCCTTCGATATGTAAAAGAAAACAAGCTCACTCATCCTACTAAGAAAAGGAAGGTCATTTGTGACTATAAACTGCAATCCTTATTACAGAAGAAGGAGATCAACAAAAACAGAATACCTAAGCTCATTGAATGTCATTTTGCTCTGAACGAAGAGGAGTCGGAGGATGGTGATATTTTCAATGTAGATGGTGATGAGAAAAACACGCCGACCAGTGACCTGGAAACGGAGAATCAGTCAGACAACGATGATGCTCTCAAGAAGGAAGGGTTAGTAGCCAGTATACTTCAGAGTAAATATGCTGCCATAATTCCAGAAAACATTAAACTTGTTTACTTGAAGAAGAGCTTGGTGCATGAGTTATGCAAACAACCTGATGCATTTGAAGAAAAGGTGATAGGGTGCTTTGTTCGGTTCAAGTCGAACCCAAATGGTTTTCACCGTCGGAACCTGTATCAACTTGAGCAAGTTACAGGTTAGCTTTGATTACCACTTGCTATGTAATCATCATGATCAAATATTTGTACAGCTTATATTCTGTCTAAATTCCATCATGAGTTTCCTTAGGCATCAGAAGTGCTTCCCTTGGTGAAGAAAAAAGTGACATTATGCTTTCTGTTTCAAATATGCCGAATGATATTTGCTTAAGCATGCTCTCGGATGCTGATTTTTCTGAGGTAACATGGTTTCTTGTTTATTTTACCGCTTGATTTTGTTGTGAATTTGTTCTATTGACTATATCTAAGCTTCACAACCGCTTAAAATGTGTTTGCACCTACTATCGTATTGCTAAAAGAAGAGGGTGTCTGAGTTGAAAGGTTTAATTGCAGAAGTGTTGATGGTTTAATCCTTGAACCATCAAAACTTGGTGAATTTATGTGGCGATTCAAACTTGGTGAATTTATTTTTTGTATTTGTTTTACCTCATCATTTAACCCAGAAAAGACCGCTTGAAGAATGAGATAATCAGGCAAAAGGTGCAAGTAGCACCTATAGAAGTTAAGATGCAAGAGTCTCGATTGCGGTGGTTTGATCATGTTCACAGAAGATCGACTAATGCACATGTTAGACGACTTGAGAGGTGGGGAGAATTGGTGGGGAGAAGAGGGAGAGGAAGACCCAAACAGACTTGGATTATAGGAATCAGAACTGATATGCTTCTCCTTAGGTTGGATGAGAGTATGGCTTTGAAGAGAAGAAAGTGGAGGGCACATATTTGTGTGGACGATTGATCTCTTTTGTCTCTTTCTCTCCCTTTTTCTTTTATCTATCATTTTCTTTATCTTTCTATGTTATTATGTTGTTTTTATTTTTTATCCTTCTTATGCTCTTTTATCTTTTTATTTTTATTTTATCTTTCTTATGTTCTTATGTAATTTTTATCTTATATTTATCTTTATTTTATCCTTTTTATCTTACTTTATCTTTTTATTCTTCTTATCTTTCTTCTTTTTTTGGCTCTGATATTATGGATTGATTAATGTTAGCTGATCCTAAAATCTTTTGGGAATAGGGCTTAGTTGTTGTTGTTTAACCTCATCATTTATTTATCGCTTCCTGTTATTTAAATTTAAAAGGCTAAGAATTCTTTACATATGTAAAAATTTCAAGAACATTAATGATATATATCACTTCCTTTGCACTTTCCAAGGTATAACTGAACAAGGAAATAACACTCCCTAGCATTTTTTCGGTTTCCCTAGCATTTTCAGGGATGCAAACATACCCTTAATGTATGTCTTTTTTCTATAAACAACACGTTTTATTTTGCATCACAAGTAGATTAAGATTTACTGATTTACTGTAACATTATATGAATCTCTTATAAAATTAAGCTAATACCAATAGTATTAAAATATAGTGATAAATCTCTTGTAAATATGGGATTACCATTTCCTGTTTCCTGTTATAAACCTGTTATGTGAACCCTTGTTTATGTTTTTGGTTTTTGAACATGTGCTTTGGCACTTGAACATATATGTAGGAGGAATGTGGAGAGTTACTAAATAAGGTGAAAGCTGGGCTGATAAGCAAACCTGTTTTGGTTAGTATCTAGTTGTTTTACAGTTTTCTTTTTATGTCACTCATATACTAGTACTATTGTTTAGAACGGGACTAACTGTCATTTAATAACATAAAAAAATACAGGTTGAACTACAAGAGAAAGCAAGCAGTCTTCACAAGGATATAACCAAGCATGTACGGGTCCAATCTCTTGTATTTATTGATTAGCAATTTAGCATTAATGGTAGTTTATGGTCAAACAGGTGTTCTCTTATAGGTTTATATTCTAATAAGTGCATAAACTTTTAACTGCACAAGCGCACCATTTTTCAGCTTTCATTCATGGGATTGTGCTAACCAAATAAATTTCTCATGTGGTTTCCTTTTGTAAATATCAGTGGCTTCCCAGGGAGATTAATAGACTGCAGAACCTCATCAATTTAGCGAATGAGAAAGGATGGAGACGCGAATATCCTTTATAAAATGTCTTTAATTTTGACTCACTTAACTGTTTTGCTACACACACACACTCTTGTATATATATCATTTGTGCTGTACTCATAACTTATCAACAAGAAGCAGAGTTCACCTTAACGGTTGCTTTTACATTATATGAGTACTTGGAAAGGAAGCAGAAGCTGGAAAATTCGAAAGAAGTGTCTCGGCTATTAGAAATACTCCCTGTGGTTATTCCAGATTCAGGAGATCTTGACAGTCCATCTGAGGAATATGAGGAAACTAACATTGGCAAAAAAGTAGCACCATCACAAAAATTAACACCTTCAGTGGTTACAACAGGTAGTACACTTTGATATTTTTTGATATTGCAATTTGAATTGCTTTTGCTATCCAAAATTCTAGATGCTGACTCTTGTCCAGTTTCAATACAGAAATGTATCCATCTCAGATTATTGACCTCCGTTTTTGTTTCAAGTTGTTCCTATTTGTATCTTGCAGCATTTACCATGTTGTATTTGGTGCAAAAAGACAATTTCTTGTCATATATAGATCAGCTTGGATGGAGGGTTTTGGAAGGTATTGCAGGGGATGACTTTGGAGAGTGAAGTCTGTATCATGATCTTGATAAATAAGATGTTTCTAAAATATGAGTGAAGTATGACTGAAATGTCATAATTACCTATTACTGTTAGTCATCAATTTTTTTAATAAAATCTATTTAAATATGTTAAGATTTAGACAGCTTTCCAAACCCCTCCATCCAAACTGACCCTTAGTTCTGGTATAGTTCATACCTATGTGGTTTAGACTATGCAGACATATGTTTGCATAGTTCTGGTAATTCTGCTCTTTCCTCTAGTAATGCTTTGATTTTACAGCAGATTTTTTTTTCATTTACTGAGATATTGTTTTGAAAGGACTGCCCGTATTCATGACTTCTGAAGAAAAGGAGCATAACAGAACTGAGCAGCCTCTCCAGATACCTGCAAATCAAGAACTAAACAAATTAAATCCTTGCCAACACAAAAAGGAGCTCAAAAAACACATAAATGATCTCCCTTCCATGGATCATCTGCTTCCTTCACATGGAAATGAAAAGCCAAACCAGCAGACAGACTATGATGTCAATCTGGAAACCGTAAAACCTCACATGTGTGCAATGGCTGATGTCATTAAACCTGGTGATGAGAAGCCCCAAGTTTGTGATGGGGAAGAGAATGATCAGCACACGAATATTGTCACACAGGTAAACGAAGCAATTCACAAGGATGATATGATTACAGATGAAAAGGCAGAGGTGGTTGGGAGCGAGGACCGGGAGGAACTGGAAAGGAGGCGTCACAGTTAAAGGTTTGGAAGGAAGGGCAGAGTGAGGAAGATGCAACTCCATTGAAGGATGCTGTTATGCTGGCTTTTCCCAAGGTGTTGATCATCAGCCCTTTTCCCTTTGAATGTTTGTTAGTAGCCCCCCCCCCCCCCCCCCATAATTGAGGCTTTTGTGCAGCAAGACTTTTAAGTTTTATGGTACCCTTGAATCCTTTTTTGTTTATATTGCTATGGTTACCTGATTTTACTTTCTGGGAAGTGCTCCATCTTAAACTTTCTGGGAAGTGCTGATTCTTCTATGTTAATGTTCAGGAGTAATTAAAACATTTAATGAGAAAGATAAAATAAGAATTGATTAAGATTTGCTGAAACTGTGCTAAAAAGGTAAAAGCAACAAAAATATGAGTTAGCGAAAAAGGAAACGCATGTTTGTGAATACTCCTTTTCAAATCCCTCTGTCTTTAATAAAATCTTATAAAAGGGAATGAGGTTTAGGAGTTAGGACCTTTTGAGTCACTAAAATGTGTTGGTGACAATGTGACATGGTGTAACACTAAAGCTTCACATATTAAGTTCAAGACACTACATATTTGTCTCTTGCATTAAAATAAATGTTTAATGCGCTCATTAGTCCCTTCCTCTGCTCATTTGTACTTGGGGATATCGCTACACTATAAATCTATAATCTATATCCCTTTTAAATTAATAATTTCTGATGAATATCATATTTCGCAAATTGGCTTTACCCATTCCATCGTCTTTGACTCTTTGTGCTGACCAAGAGGAAGAGCAGCCGGAAGAGGAGAATTTGTTGCTTGAACCGACCATATCTATGTGTCGATTAAGGATGTTTTCACTTTGGTCTGATTTTAGTCCTAAACCAGATCAGACTTAAACATACTAGACCAGATTTAAACAAACCAGACCAGACTTCCATAATTTTAAAATACACAGAGACCATATATTTATCAAACTAGACCAAATCAATTTAGACCAGACCAAACTAGCAAATTCCAATCGAATTAAAAACATCCTAAGAGGTGGACAACTAGTAGATGAGGATTTCTTGAAAAGTTGTAGAACTATTTGCACGCACATGTTTTCAGGGATTAACACCACCTTTGATTCGAGGCCTACTCTTTTGATTAGGCTCGACCTGTGGGCACTACGATGTGGTGAAACCTCCCATGTTCATACACAACGCAGTAGTGGGGCTCTGCAATGCCGTAGTGAAATGTGAGAGTGCCCCATAGAAATCTACCTTGACCCGATTACTACTGAGTAATGTGTTAAATGAAGTGTGTACACCTCTTTATCACCAATTGGTTTAAGAATGATATGATTGCTATTTAATCATAGAACTATGTAGTTAAGCAAGCTCGGAGGCAAGAAAACCCAAGAATGGGTGACCCATTGGGAAGCTTGTAAAAACGAGCTAATCGATCCTACAAGTGGTGTCATAAAAAGGTCGCAAGTGAATCTTACGGTGGTGTGGCTGATTGATGATTTTATAGGGGATCAATACCACTCTTTGATTCGGGGTCTAATCATTTGATTAGTTCTGATTCTCACGTCTATCTACCGCTCAATAGTAAGGATCTGCACTGCCTGGGTGATACCTACAAGAATCCACTTTGATTTGGTTACTATAGGATAATGTTTTAAATAGAGCATGTCTACCTTTTTATCACCAATCAATTTCTAGAAGAGAGTGATTGTTATTTAACTATAGAATTCTGTAATTAGACGAGCCCGAGGCAGGAAAGCCCAAGGATGTATTAAGAAATTACACTTGACAGAAGTAAAAACATTTTGAAATTCCAAAATGAGTACTATCATTTTTCAGATATAACAATTTTTGAGTAAATATGAGCCATATTTAAAATCTGATATCGTTAAAATACAACAATAATTTTTCAGAATGAAAATATTGTACTCTTTTTTAGGGGAATGGCGTGGCACTATTTTGAAATATTACATTTCTTCTTAGATAGATTCTATGGTACCCATAAGGTACCAAACCTTTGTCCACAAGGACCAATGAGAATGTTGTAGTTGAATTATTTAAATCTAAATTAAAAATGATATAATGATGTGGACCAATCAAGTGAATGATAGGTATGGTACCCCATTTTTTAAATGAGTACCGGAGTTCTCACCTTCTTCGAGAATTTTCCGTAGTGTGTTTTAATGATCGAATAAAAAACTTGGGAGTGACTTATACTTTCTCAATTCATATTTAGCCTCTCAATGACTCATTTTGCAATTTTGAATCCCTTTCATTTGGATTAAGACTTGAAATTGGTATGTTATTCAATTGTGAATTAGAGTGAAAATGGGTTGTAGCCTTGTATGTGTAGGCAGGAATCATAAAGAGAGATTCTAGGAGCACTCAGAACTCCAGAAATTATTGAACAAGGAATATGAACAAATGCTCTTGAGATTAATTATATATATATATATATATATATTTATATATATATATAGTAGAGTTTGTGAATGAGGTCTAAAGTAGTTGTTATTTGAAAAAAGAAGCTAAAATCACACACAACAAAGTGACAAACAAGAAAGCAACACAAACTCCAACATATGTTTCCAAAGTTGCACCAGGTCTTCAAACCATTTTCAACCACAGAAAAAGAAACTTCTAAAGTGAAGTATGGAATAAGAGATTCATCCCAAGTGATTTTAACAGTTTGGAGAAACCCCTCATGGATAGTCCAATACTAGAGAAACTGAAGGGCCTTAATCTTATTAAGAAATCCTATTGCTGTAGAAAAAGAGGATAGTGGTATGATCGAGGTAGTACTATTGTTGAGAATATTAACAGTAAAACTGTAGTAAATTTCCACCCATTTATCATTGTCTACTAATTAAGCTTCTCCCTAGTTCTTCAATTCCATTCAAATCTATCATTATTCATATGATGTTCTAATAAACCAGCATCCAATATTGTTGAGTATTTTCATTAATAGCTTTCTGAATTGGAACTAATACTATTATCCTTATCTCTAAACTTCTTATCTTGGAACTAATACTATTATCCTTTTACCATTCATCTGCATTTTTTGTGTTATATTTCGTCCAAATTTTCTTATGTTGAAACTAATATTCATTATCGAATGGTGGTGGACTATTTTTAGTTTTTTTACGATGATGATATGACCAAACTTTATAAATAAACAACAATAATAATTGCAACAATTATAATAGTAACTGTTAAATAATAGTAGTAATAATATATTAATAATGATAATAATAAGTTAAGAGAAAAATGTTATTAGGCCCACAACGAGTTCTTTCAAAGATGAAGATGAAAATGATCAATAAGCAGTGGCAGAGATAGGATCTAGGGTCAGTAGTGTCAATTGAGAAAATAATTATTATACCAAAATGTGTAAATATTATAAATCAAAATAACAAAAATTGTCATTTATAATATTGAAATAATGCTAATTCAAAATTGTGTACGTCACATTTTCATATTTTAAAAGCGGTATACTACATCCGTCCCGGTAGACTTTGCCAAGTGCAAAGTAGGTGACAGTTGGGCCAGTTGGCGAAATCCAATAGGATGGAGAGAGTACATTTTTTCTATCAAGTGTCAATCAATTGATTCAAACTTTAAAGAAAGAAGACTATAGCATCTTGTCTAATATAGTAATATTCCTAATAGAGTATCACTTGTCTCATTTCACATGTCTTAACTTTTTTTTTTGGATTATCTCAAAATAGGTGTCATGTTTCTTCTTTTAAAAAGAAATATGTGGTCTACAACATTTCATTTTATTATTAATTAATGGTCTCAAACTTGATTAACATTATTAGTTTTTCGATCACTTTATTACAATTGTGTCAAACCAAAACAAGACATATAAATTGGGATAGAGGCAGTAGTAATACTTAAAACTGTACACTTTACAATTATTTTTATGTTAGTGTTCCAGCTTTTAAAATATATACACTGACCTCCATTTTTTAAATGGTTGTGTCAATTTTTATTTTTTGAAGGATTATATATTTATACTTTGTATATAGTTTTTTTTAGAAAAATCTCTAAATATGACTAAAACATAGATAAAATTTATAAATAGGAATATGAATGTTTTATTTCCAAAATAGGACTCATTCGCTCCTATTTTGAAAGTTTTAATCTTGTCATTCTTTTGATAGAACTAAATAAGCCCTATTTGGAGAATAAAACACGCAATAATTCCTAATTGTTTTACTTTGTGTATGTTTTAGTCTTATGTTAAACGATTTCTATTTTTTTCAGTGGTGTCAATTTTAATTTTTTAAAAAGTTATATATACCTATATATGAATAAGAATGGAAAATTCACTCTAGATAGGAAACATAATTTCTCGGGGCCTAATATCATAAAATGAAAGTTATCGGATCCCATATGCTCTGTTGGCTCTAATGAAAACCCTCCATAAGTACATGTGACATTTTTATGCATGGGCTTCTTCCTGGTGGATTAGATTTATTTCTTATAGTTGTTTTAAGGGTCTTTCCAATATTTTTGGTTCTTAATTTAGTCGATAGCTAGTAGCTACTTACAAGTTTAGTGTCACAAATTCACATTCATTAATCATATTCTTGTGCATATGTTTTTCACTTTTTTTTTTATTCTATTTGATTTTAATAGTTGAATCTGACGTGAATGAAATTATGAATGTCAATTTCCAATATGTCAGTTCATATTAATCTAAGTAAAATTTACTTAATCCCTTATTCACCTAAGTAAAGGTAAAGAGTTAAATTTATTTTGTCTTAATCCCTTAATCACCTAAGAAAAGGAGAAGAGTTAAATTTATTTTGTCTTAATCCCTTATTCACCTAAGTAAGTTTCTTTTCCCAAATGTTTTAATTGCATATAGGGATTTTATCCCATCCTTTGAGCATGCCTTAACTTAAATGTGGCATTAGTGAATAAAAAAATATTTGTTGAAGTTACTTTAGCATTTCATGCAATAGAGCGAATAACTAACTTAAGCATTTAATATTTGTAACGAGGAAAAAGCAATACAAAAAAAAAGTAATGCAAAAAAGAAATAGATAAAATTATGACGTGAATGAAATTATGAATGTCAATTTCCAATATGTCAGTTCATATTAATCTAAGTAAAATTTACTTAATCCCTTATTCACCTAAGTAAAGGTAAAGAGTTAAATTTATTTTGTCTTAATCCCTTATTCACCTAAGAAAAGGAGAAGAGTTAAATTTATTTTGTCTTAATCCCTTATATTCACCTAAGTAAGTTTCTTTTCCCAAATGTTTTAATTGCATATAGGGATTTTATCCCATCCTTTGAGCA